GCCGCATCCGCCGCAAAATTGTAGCTAAGAGGAACACGGAGGGGATGGGGGGTGGACAGCTAATTTAATATAAAATAGCTTTCAAAAACCGCGCCAAACGTATGGCAACATTCTGACCTGATGCTCAGTACTGTTTAACATTTAGACCTTAAGTTTCGGTACTCCACATGGCTGTTACTACTGAACCATTCCAACCTGAGGCTCAGCACCGTTCAACATTCAAGTACGGATTTCGGCGCTCCGCAGTAATTGGCGGTCCTATCCTATACCGGAATGTTTAGATGCGCCCCGGCCCGATCCGCTGAGTGGACATGTACCTTTAAAAGGTATCTGAAAGTGTATCGCGCAGCAATAACGCAATCTCTTACAACACCGACTATTGTGTGTAAGTCGGTCTCCATTACGTCTCAGAAGACCAGTCAATTGCACGTTTTTTTTTTTAAGCTACCCATGACAGTAAAAAATTCGAGGTCGAGCCGAAAGACATTATTGCGGGATGTTATTCAAAGAAGCACCCTATTATCCAAGCAGGTACGCCACTGCTAAACAACAAGGTTAAAAAATTCCAGATGAACAGCAGTATGTAGACCAGCATCATAACATTTGAAAAAATACCAATTTTTAAGTTCTTTCCACCAAACCAAAAGATGCTCTTGGTGTTACGCCACTGGAATACACTCCTGTATTTAGAGTAGTTAGTAACTTAGATTTGTTAATTAAGCTGTTTAATTGCATATTATAATTTAATTTATAAATTCGGTTTTAATTACATAATGTCGAAAGCAATTTTTTTCTGCGCGCCACTGTAGGCAATACGTTCAATGAGTGCTTTAATCTTTTCACGGGTCCAAGAAATTCCACTTCATGCAAAAGTATGAGAAAAAATTCCCATTCTCAAGCGAAACCCCGAAAAAGTCACTTTTTTAGGGATAAATGTAACCCTTTTTTAAAAATTCGATAATTTGCGTTATAGCCAACTTTCGAGAAATTTGAGAAATTACTTCTCTTGGGATAGTCCAAAGATCAAAAAATGAGAATCTGGCATAGCCCCAAACTTTGCTAAAAAAACATGACTTCCTTCACTCACCCTGTATAAGTGGATAAATGAAAGAAAGATACCGGTCAAACCTTGTGCGTGTTCTCAAAGAGTTGGTCAAGAACCTCCCGAATACCGCAACTCGATATCTCTTTCCGTTCAGCAAATATCGAGATTTGAATTTGGGTAAAATTTTCCATGTTGCAAAGCAGCTGTCCACCAGTTTATTTGGAGAAACTTATTTTTATCTTGTTCAATAATTTTTCCTAAATTTTTTTTTTTTTTTTAAATTTTGCCTGCTCGAGAAGCAGCATTCTGCTCAATTATAAAGAGCATCTATTTTTATCTTTAATCTCTCTGTATACCCACCTACCTTATTACTCTGCTTTATTATTTCATTAATACTTTTTTAAATTAGACCGGGTGCCCACGAGATCACTTTCCGGCTGCCATTTTTTTATTTGTTTATCGATATCAACGAAACTTGGTAGGAATGATATTCTCACCGAACACTATTTTTATGCATTTATGACAAGTTTTTCTGACTTCCGGTTTCACCGGAAATGACCGGAAATTTTGATTTTTAAATGGCACACTCTGTATATTTTTGGTTTTTCGGATTTTACAGATCGTTTTACGTCCTAATGCCTTACTTTTGAATCGAGTTTTGTCCAAATTTTGTTTTTAAATTAAATTTTAATTTTTTAACTAGAGTGCCATGATCGAGGCTAAAATGACTCTACATACTTTACTTAATTTCAGAAAAATACAAACTCAATTTTATCTTTGTAAACTTTTTTGATAGAGGGATGTAAACTTCATACTTCATTATTGTAGTATTTATGCCCTAGCTCAAAAACTAGAATAGAAACATATCACTTTCATAACATTACTAAATGCAGTATTTTGAAGCAAATCCAACGATATAATACACTACGACATTTTACTTAATTTTCGTTAAAATATTTTTGTTTTATTATGTAGATAATTTTTTTTTCCTACTTGCAATTTAATTTGAAAACGAAATTTGGACAAAACTTGATTAAAAAGTGGTACATTAGGACGTAAAACTATCTGTAGAATGCAAAAAAACAGAAAATATACAGGGTGTGCCATTTGAAAATCGAAAGTTTCGGTAATTTCCGGAAGTCAGGAAAACTTGTCGAGGATGCACAAAAATGGCGTTTTGTTAGAATATTAAGCCTACCAAGTTTCGTTCATATCGATGAACAAATAAAAAAATGGCAGCCGGAAAGTAATCTCGTGGGCACCCGGTATAATTGTTTTTTTTTTTTATAAAAATATTTTTCCAATTTGCAATAGTTGCTCATACCTGATTCTGTTGGAAACGAGCGTCTGCACAAAAATAGTTTTATAATGAACTAATTTCGATTTAAATCTTCTTTGCAAGACACGTATCACTTTTTGACAGAATTCAGGGATTTAATATTCCAAATCTTAGTGAACCTGATACTGCCTTATTCTTTTCTGGGTACCTATTCGACACAAAGATCACTATGTGGAGTCTGGATCAGGTAGAGTGACGTCACCCCCAGCAATCTATCCTCGTTCCTGGATATAGGAACCCGAAAAGCTCCAGTCCACGGAAGTGAATCCTCAATATCCATTGAAGAGCTCTGGATTGGAAAGGTACATACTGTATCAGATTCACCAGAACAACCAAGCTATATTGTTTACACCAAGCAATATTTACATAATTTACACAACCATTATTGTTTACACTAGATAAAATTATTGTTGGTTTGTTGGATTTTGAGTGGTTTCATTTGCACATAAAGGGGCTACACGTTATCTTTATTTTTAAATTTCACGACCCTATAAGTTCTCTTGTAAGTACAAATAACTATATTTATTTGTAACAAATATTAACACGTTCATTACCGCCGGCCACTATAGTAGTCATTACGGTTTCCTGTTGTGAACCGCGGCCACTAATCTGGCCATATATTCCTACTCTTTTATTCACTAAAATTTTGAAGCGGATCGTGAATGGTGCGGTTATTAGGTACTTTGGTCCATTCCTAATGTTTCTTGTCCGCGCAGAGCCACTATAGTGGCCTCTGGTTCTTTAGCGTTTTTTTTTATACTTCCATCGGACCAACCACTCCAAGGTAAAGGACTCAATTCCGTACCATCCAAAGATGGCACAAGACCGCTTAAAGACAGTTCCTTTAATAATTCTCGTTGAAAGGAACATTTTCAGGAACTACTCAACAGAGAATCACAAATTACAGATGATATCTTCAACGGAATTCCACAGAAACCAATACAACAAGAACTGAGCAAGTTTCCTAGATTAGAGGAGGTTGAAAAGGCAATCAGACAACTACAGAACAATAAATCAGCTAGTATTGACGGCATTCCTGCTGAATTAGGTGCCCAAACTCACATACTAATAAGTAAAATATGGGTTACTGAGACTGATACATTTCTGTAATATATTTCATGGAATCAGATATATTTTCCTATATTATGTTCAAGGCCATTAAAATGGCTGTTGGCCTATTCTGATGTCAAGCACCACTCATAGACCAGTGGCCAATTTAATGGCCTCAAAACAAAATGGCGGAATTTTAATAAGTAACACCAACTGATCTTATCTGTCTAAAAATATTCATAATACTTTTAAAGATATTATACTTGGTCCATAACAAGTGACAGCCCTTTAACGCTCGGTAGTGAACGTGTTAAACAGTATGCTAATACTCATATGATACGTGTAAACGATGAAAACTTATCAAACGGAAATAAAGATTTTCGAACTAGATCATAGCTTTGAATATTTTTTTGGTTTCTGGCAATTTATGTAACAGGACTGGAATCACGGCAGAGATATCCATACCTAGGCCAAATTTCCAAAGATTCATATAGCCATGATGGGCCCTGAAACCATAATTCCGAGTTCCTTAGATATTGAACTGACACACCTCTGGATAAAATATTAGCAGGGTTCGAATTGGTTGGTTCATATCTCCAATGTGAACTCTCAGTAATGGTTTGGATTCCGGCGACACGATTTCTAACAAATACTTGTAGGTTATGGGGTGATCTAATCCATGCAAGGGCCACAGTTGAATCGAACCATAAAAAATACTCATCGATTTGCAATGTCATTGAATTTGAAACCTTTCTAAACAACCGGGCGGGCTAGTAACAGAGCTGCTGACAGTTCCAATCGATGCATTCTCAAAGACTTCAGCGGATATACCCTAGTTTTAGAAGTTGATAGATTGACACGAACAATTTGATCTGAATCAATAACTCGTACAAACATAC